TTTGAAAAGTCTTCCATGAAAACAAAGTTTGGAAACTTGGGTTGAACAATTTTAGTTTTCTGTTTTGTTTTGTTTTTGTTTTGTTGTTGTTGTTGTTGTTTTCCATTGCAAGACTCTGACAGTCATTATGTTGGTTTACAAAATAAAGCTCCAGAGATTGATATTATATGTAGCAGGTCCTAAACATACCTGACCATACATTCTCCTCTTTATTTTCAAGAGCATTTTACCAACTCCACAGGATTTTCTTTGTGATATATTTCTGTTCAAAATATTGGCTGATTTTCCAGTAGTATCCTTTTCTGTAGATGTATTATCTATCTTACTCCACTGAACACAGGTGTGGTCATCTGACCCACTTTGGCTCATGTAAGGTGACTGTAGGTAACCTGTGTCACTTCTGAGCAGAACTTCAAGAGCTAGCTGTTCTCCACCTATCCATTTTACCTTCTGCTACAAGACCCAGAAAGAGTTTTGATATCCAGTCTTGGAGTATCCTATAATAGAAAAGTGAATGAATCAGAAATCAACATTTGTAAGCCATCAATATTTTGAGTCATTTGTTATCAGAGCTAACTTAACCAAAGCTAACACATAACACCCTTACCAAATTGTCCAGGTGCACTCTTTTGTCTCAATCTTCAAAATGATGAAATATTCTTAGAATTTTTATTTGGGTCAGGACAGTAACACTTGAAGGCAAACTGAAAAAAAAGAAAAGAAAAAATAAATACATGAGACATGACTTAAGCAGTGATGCTTAAACTCCTATGAGCCCAGAAGTTGCCTGGAATTTTGTCAAAAAATGAATATTACTAGGCCTAATTCCCACATACTACTATTCAAAGGGCTTGGAGTTTGTCCAAGGAATCTGAATTTTAAACCTGATATTACCAACCAATAGAAATATTACCAATGCAGGTGGTCTATTGACCACAAGACCACAACCTGGGGAATTTTGCTCTAAAGCCACTCATTTCATGAATAGTTATATAGCAGGCATTAAATAAGTGCCATTTCAATATCAGAAGGCATCATGGAAAGTTCTCTTCAGAGGACCAGAGGTGTGTACAAAATCAGTTTAATGACCTTTCAGTTTATATTCATTATACTTTAGTGCAAAATATTTTATGCACAAAATGGTACTTTCATGCTTGCATGCCAATCTTATTTTAAAAGCTTGCCTCTAAGTGGTCCTTAGCTCTTTCAAAAAAAAAATCAATTAGCTTTAGAAAGGTTGAATTCTGCAATCAATGAAGATCAAGGGCTATTTCAGTTACCAGTGACAGAAACCTAGTTCAAACTGCCTTAAGCAAAAATAAAGTGTATTGGTTATAAATCTAAAATGCCTATGGTTTTTGAGAGAAGGAAGCTTAGTTTCCAGTTGAATGCATAGGACAAACTGGAGACAAAAACCTACCTTTGGGAGGTTGTCAGGGGTGTGGGAGATGATATTGGTCAGTAGGTAGGGCAAAAATGGTGTGCAGGTTCTTGTGGGAAGAAGACTAGGCAGGAATACACTATCTGCACATTCTGGGAACAGGTAAAGGCAAGTGATCTGCACCAGAGAAGTGTTATCTGTGGAAGTCCTGACAAAAGGAAAGGGAATGACCAAGGGTGTAGGGAGGTTGGCAAAGTAAAGAGTATCAGTGAACTGAGATCAGAGCTTCACTCGTGGCTGGATCTAGATAGTCAAATATGACTTCAAAAACCTGTTTCTTTTTATCTCTTACCTCTACTTTCTTTCACTTCCCTCTTTAGTTGGCAGGTTCTTCAAGGAGGAGCAAGATGGTGACCACCAATTTGCTAATCTCCAAGCAGGGTCTCACTGGCCTGGCTTGGATCAAGAGTAATCTTGACCTAATGGCTGAGGCCACAGATGTGGTGTTTGACCAGGATGGATGTACCCATCTCTGGAGACAGAAATGAGGCTATAGCAACAGAAACTAGAAAGATTACCCAGAAGGAAGTTGGGGAATTATTGCTAGCATAAGTAGGTACTATGGTTGGATGTGCCCCAACAGTTTACGTGCTGAGAACATGACTTCCAGATTCATATGTTCATGGTATTTGAAAGTGGGACCTTTCAGAGGCAATTAGGATTAGATGAGGTCATGAAGATGGAATCCCCATGATGGTATTGTATTAGTGGCTTTAGAAGAAAAGGAAGAAAGAGCCAAGCTAGTGTGCTTGCTCTGCCTTACCATATGATGCCCTCTACCCTGTTACCCTGCAGCAAGAGGCCTCCCAAGGTGCCAATCAGATGCTGCTGGCATGCTCTCGGATGTCCAGCCTCCAGAACTCAATAAAATTCTATTTTTTATAAATTACCCAGTCCTGATATTTCATTATAGTTGCAGAAAAAGGACTAAGGTTGAAAGTAACAGAAAATTCAATTCAATATCCTCCTTAAAGACTTGACAATCCTTCTCATATCTGGATCAGTAATCCAACAGAGAAAGAAACACACATGCTGGACTTTTTTTCCCCAAAGGAGATTTTCTCTAAAATGAGTAAAACAATTTTATACCAAAATGTTTGAAGCAAGAAAATGATCTTTATTCCTTTCTGGGAAAATATCAGGGAGGAATTCAATATTATAGACTGCTGTTAGGTCTAATTGCAGCCCCAGGAACCTATATTTTTTACTTTAAGATTGTTAATAAAATTTTCTCACCAGATATTCTGAACCTACATACCTATTAACCTTGCTTTAAATACATAATTATTTGGTTTGCATGAAAGCCAGATTTTCTGCAGATGCATAAAGGTTAAGGAGAAAAATGCTGGCAAGTTCTTGTCCCTTTAAGCCAATTACTAAAGGTCAGAATCAGAGCAATTTGCTACGAAGAATTCTCAAAATATTGCAGAGAAAGGCAGTTCCGTGTTCATTAGGATTTCTATTGACTTTCAAAATTTTAAATCCAACTGCTCCCTATCAAGTCTCTTTACAGAAAAAAGGTTTCTTTTTTTTATTATTCTGTTATTCCTTTCTATTTATGGCTCATATTTTCACTTGTTCATAACCATGGAATGGTTTTAAGGTAAGGAAATTTATAAGTAAAGTTGTTTTTTCCTTCTACTCAAAACAAACTTCCTCGACTTGTGGCCCCTGCTGGGGTTATTCTCACTTTCTAGTATTTTTGCTTGTATATGGCATGGATATAGGATCTTGTACACAACTAGTGTTCCACAAATGTTCATTAATTAAATGGCTAAGCACAGAATCGATGTGTCTTGCATATGCTACAGTGCACTGAAGCACTGTGGAGTCATTGCCGAGACACGTCGGAGCTCTGCCAAGGTCTAAATACTTGGGTATTTTACCAGGCACTTGGGAAATTCCAAAAATGAGATTTAAAAAAAAAAAAAAAAACTTGTTTCTTTTTTGAAAATGTTTTTAGTTTTCAATTGACACACACTAATCATACATATTTACAGGGACGGTGTGATAATTTGATACATGTATATAATATGCCCTAATTAAAAAATGGACAAATGATCTGAACAAACATTGCACAAAAGAAGATAGACAACAGGCCAACAAGCACATGAAAAAAAAAATGTTCAACATCACTAATCATCAGGGAAATGCAAATTAAAACCACAATGAGATATCATCTCACCCCAGTTAGGATGCCTATAATAAAAAAGATAAAAATAACAAATGTTGGCTAGGATATGGAGAAAGAGGAACTCTTATACACTGTTGTGGGAATGTCAGCTCATACAGCCATGATAGAAATCCGTGACTTCTTTTTTCATTCAAAACACAATAGATATTTTATTTGTTATGGCTCAAAATCTAAAGTGGAGCACAACTGAAGTTTATTCAGGAAGATAATTAAACTCCAGTTAGTTGTGGCCAATGGCTTTGGCAAGGGAATTTGGGTGACTGACTATCCAGAGAAATAGCTATGATGCATAATCATCCACATACAACTTGTATGATCAGGCAGATTAAGCAGTTTCTGCCTTTGCTCTTTTCACAATTTATCCCCTGCAGGGTTGATATGGTAGCAAGTATATTTATCATTTTAAGACCATTGTAGAAAAATATGACCCAGATAATCAGGAAATCAGATCCTACTCCTGTCTCCTGCCTACTGGCTATAGGAAGGTGATAAATGACTGCCATCCTTCATAGCATTCAGGAACTAAAAAGGTCAAGGACATAGAGTGCTTACTTCTGTCATCCTCTCTAGCTTGTAGAAAAGCTATGAGAAGTCAGAATGGGAAGAGAGAGGGAGGAGAGACATTGACTGGATACCATGGCCAGAAGTCCAGAAGCCAAACTATAATAATTTTCAGTTGGTGTTTTTGATTACCTTGAGTTTTTCAGGAAATCCTTATAACCTTAAATATCATTTTTTTTTGTCATCAGTGTTGGTTCAAATAATTGATTCCACTGACAACTTGATAAACGATCTTCAATTTTATCTCAGACAAATGCATCATGGTTCAATGCATGATTTTTGCTTATGTGAGCACTTTGGGATTGTGTCTATAGATCTATTTCTATTTTAAAATTCAGTTTCCAGAGGGTTGTTTCATTAAGTTTCACGAGTTTGTATTTGGAATGTATCTTGATTTTGGCCTCAACCCATCCCTGCAATAGCCACACAAGAAAACCTGAGGTGGAAATAGTATGTACTTGGTTATTTGATCTTTCTTATTATAGGCCATTAACTAACTACTGTATCCAGATAAGTCTGTGCTGATATTGTTGTGATACTTGCCAAAGAAACTGTTTCGTATCACGTTAACACATTAAAAACGATGACCGACCTGGACAGCAGGCCGCCTTTTCACTGGAAGCCTGATGACTTGTTGAGTCTTGTCATTCTCAGCTCTTTGCTTATGGAAGAGCGTCAGGTTTCTATGGCGCCAGTGCTGGCTCACATGACAGTCCAAGTGGACGCAAGAAAATGAAGCAAGCCTTACAGGGGAAGATATGCCTGATGGGATTTCAGGTTTCTTGGAGGCTGAACAGAGAAAAGGGAGATGAACTCGTTGCTGATTTTTCCAAGGTTTTGACAGAAGGAAGTTGTGGAGACAGGGGTATGTGCAGAGCATGTCAGGACTGAGACCAGACCGGATTCTGCCTTTGGGGAGATGGTAGGTTGGGGTGCTGCTGGTAGGAGGGGAGGGATGAGGATGATGTGCAGGTGGGTCAGGAGAAGCAGCAGGGGATCGCAGAACCTGGACAGTCTGTGACAGAGGAATGGCACCCCAGACTGCACAAGGAAAGTTAGATAGTGTCAGCAGTCCTGTCACATGAGCTGAGCATGACCAGGCAGTAAGGTGCTCAGATTCAAGACTAACTATCAACCCAAGTCATGACATCATCTGTTGTTGAGGGAGAGACCCTAGTCTTGGGAGGTGGCAATTACAAAGGGAGCAATAAGACAGAAGAAGCACAGTGATGATCTTCTGAAGCAGCCCAGTTACAATGGCTTTAGTGGCAGAGGAATGAAAAGGGGCACTGATACTCACTGATTGCCTCCCACATGCCTATGAGACACTGAGCTGGGCTAAGAACTTATTCATTCATTTGTTCAACAAATCTTTTCCGAACACCTATTATGAGCCAGGCGCTATTCTAGGCACTGCAGACAGAGCAGAGAACAAAGGAAATCCCTGCCTGCTTGGATCTTATATTTTCACAGGGGAACCAGACAATAAACAAAGTAAACAAAACTTACGTTGGTTCCAAATTAAATTTTTAAATAGGGAATCCAGGGAAGGGCTCACTAAGAAGGTGAAATTTGAGCAAATCCTTGCAGGAGGTAAGGAAAGGAGCTATGTGGGTGTTGGGAGGATGAATATCACAGGCAGAGGAAATGGAAGGAGCAGAAGTTGTGAGGAGGCACCTGCCTGGTGTGTTCAAAGAAAAGCAAGGAAGCCAGAATGACTGGATCCAAATGAGTCAGGGGTACAATAGGAGATGAGAGAGGAAGCAGGTTAGGGGTTGAGAAAGGAGTCATCTAAGTCCTTTTGGGCCAGTGGTTCTCAGCAGGGTTCAGTTTGCTCCCCAGCAGACAATCTAAAGACATTGTGGGTTGTTATGGACTGGGCCATTGGTACTGCTGGCATCTAGTGGGTAGAGGCCAGGGATACTGCTCAACATCCTGTAGTGCACAGAACTGTCCCGCTCATCCAAAGATTAGCTGGCTCCAGATGTCGACAGTGCTGAGGTTGAGAAACAAGTAGTTGAGAACTTTGATTCTTATTTGCAGGAAAATGGAGGGATTGTTTTAAACCAAAAGAAAAGAAAAACCATCCAAGTAACATTTTTAAACAGCATTGTTTTAGATGTGTGTCAATGATAGAAAACAAACAGGGGAGCAAGGTAGGTACAGAGAGTGCAGTTGGCAGGTTACTGCAATAATAGACAAGAGATGAAGATGACTTAGATCAGCAGGTGGGTCTCATTTATTCACAACTTTAAATTTGGTTGCATTATCCCCAAATCAGAGATAAGGAAACAGAGACATTAGGACGCGCACCCATGTGTATGAGTTCAAAGCTGTGCCCTTTCCATTGTTTGTGATAATCTTCCCCTTCCTCTGAACCTCCCTTGTCCAACACAGTGAAAGTCCAGGGATGGGTATGAAACCAGTCCAGAAAGGTGAAATGAAGGGGCTTGCCGAGTGTGGTAGCCCACCCCTGGAATCCCAGCAGCTTGGGAGGCTGAGACAGGAGGATCACGAATTCATAGCCAGCCTCAGCAAAGGCAAGGTGCTAAGCAACTCAGTGTTACAGATCCTGTAACCAAATAAAATACAAAATAGGACTGGGGAGGTGGCTCAGTGGTCCAGTGCCCCTGAGTTGAATCCCAAGTACCACCCCCCCCAAACAAAAGGGGCTTAAGAGCATTCCTTTCTAAATCTGCCATCTCAGCATCTGAGCTAGACTGACTTGAACCTGGGGTCCTCAGTGATTCAGATCCATCTTTTTAACTCTCTCCCAAGGAGAGGACTGATTTCAGAACCTGGAAGGAGGAGCCACTCTGTCCCACTGAGAGTGAAGAAGATAGAAAAGAGGCATGGAGTCCAGCACATTCTGGACCAATGTACTGTGTGAATGTGTGTCGGTTGCTTTGTGGCCCAAACCACAGCACACTTAGGTGAGCACTCCTGGACTGAGCAGAGTCATGGGTGGATCCCTGGCAGCCCACTGCAGGTAGTCTTGTGTTCCTTATGTTTGTCACAATTTAGATATTAGACAATTAGTTCAGTGTAGGCCCTTTGCCTATATAGGAAGTTCTCATCTGGGCAAACAGAGCATGACCAACACATTCGGTGATGAAATTAGACTTCAAACTTTTTGTTCATTGAAGCACAGGTTTACCCCCATTCGTGGTTTCCATATCTACAGATTCAACCAAATGCTGATGGAAATGTTTTTTAATTGTATCTGTATTGAACAGGTACTGATTTCTTTCTGGTCATTATTACCTAAATAATATAACAACAATTTATATGACATTTACATTGTATTAGATATTATAAATAATCTAGAAATAATTAAAGTGTATAGAAGAATGTGCATATGTTATATGTAAATTATTTGCTGTTTTATATAAGGGACCTCAATACCTAGGATTTTGGTATCTGCAGGGGGTCCTAGAACCAATCCCTCTTGCGTACCAAGGTATGACTATGCACATACATTCTTGTTGGTTGGGTGTATAACTGGGTATGGAATAGCAAGGTTGTCTTGATAAGATGAAGAGTAACTTGTAATAGTTGTGTTTTCATGCCATCTCCTCTGCATGGTCAACTTTATTTTCAAGATTATATATTTTGTCTTCATTGCCTGAGGTTCTGCCTTCCCAGTGGTCTTATCTATTGGTGATGCTTTCCATTGAATTTTCAGTTTGGTTTATTAATTCCTTCATTTTGAGGATTTCTGCTTGGTTTTTGATTGTTTGCTTGCTTTTTATTTATTTATTTTTCAGAATCTCTGCCTCTTTATTGAAGTGATCTTTCACTTTCTGTGTTTCTCTCTGATTTCACTCCTTACACCATCCTTTACTTCACAGATCAGTTTAACTATGTACATTCTAAACTCCTCTGATATTTTGTCTACTGTGATGTCAATGGATTCTGTTATTGGAACACCTTGGTTTGTTTGGGGTGCTTTGTTCTCTTGTTTTTTTCATGTTGTTTGTTTGTTTTTTTTCATCTAGCAATGTGGATCTGAGGCAGTACAGATTTTACCCTGTAGACTTATGGTGGCCCTGAAGGTTTCCAGTACCTCATCTTTAAGGGGGAGTACAATATTACTAGATCCCAATGTAAACAATATATGGCCTTAAACCTGGTAGCTCCTATTACGACGTCTATATTGCTGGTGGGACTGCACATTGGCACAACCATTATGAAAAGCAGTATGGAGAGTCCTCAGAAAACTTAGAAGGGAACCACCATTTGACCCAGCTATCCCATTCCTTGGTTTATATCCAAAGGTCTTAAAATATACATACTACAGTGATGCAGTGATGCTGCTATAAAAAGTGAGCTGTTTATAGCAGCTCAATTCACAATAGCTAAACTATGGAACCAACCTAGGTGTCCTTTAACAGATGAATGGATAAAGAAAATGTGGTATATACACATAATGGAATATTTTATCACCCAGCCTTAAAGAAGAATGAAATGATGGCATTTACTGGTAAGTGAAAGGAGCTGGAGAATATCATGCTAAGAGAAATAAGCCAACCCCCCAAAATCAAAGGCCAAATGTTTTCTCTGATATGCAGATGCTAATTCACAATAAAGGGGGGGAGGGATAAGAAAGAATCTAGGTACTTTCGATTAGGTAGAGGGGAATGAAGGAAGGGGAAGGGGTATGATGGTAGGAAAAATAGTAGAATGAGTCAGACATTAATACTCTGTGTGCATATATGACTACACAACTGGTGTGACCCTCATCATGTACAATCAGAAGAATGAGAAGTTATACTCTGTTAATATATGATGTATCAAAATGCATTCTACTTTCATATAGAACTAATTAGAAAAAACAAAAAATTTCTAAAAAAAAAAAATTAGTAGAGAAGTAATGTGGATAGATATGATAGGGAGATGTATAGGCAGGTTCAAGAATCAAAGAGAAAGTCCAGAGCTCTGAATAGAAAAGACTGCAGCTATGAGGATACCTATAGAGAATGGCAGAAGCTAAGGAAAAGTATGGTGTATACAGACAGAACTATGGCATGCGGCAGTGTGTCGTAGAAAAAGGTGTTTGTTAAGAGTCAGAAAGACCTGATTTTGAATCTTGCTCTATTGTGAGTAGGGAGTGCTACAGGTCAAAGCCTTATCTTTCCATTACAGAAAATAGAAAATGCTAAGCAGATGAAATTCCAACAACTAAGGATTGGATTCCTACCTGTGTATAGAGCATTGGAGATTTGGTGGTGAACTCGAAAGGAGGGCCTTGTTCTCCTTGATTTGACTGCAAAGGAGCACAGGAAACATTGATCACTTGATTACAATTATGGTAAGTGCAATGAAGGAGTCTAATCAATCTGGGGATCTGGGAGGCTTCTCTGAGGCCAAGTAGACAGGAGCCAGGCCAAGTGGGGGGGAAGTGTTTGAGGAATTCAGGCAGATGTAACAAACAGCTGGAGGGAAGCCTGGGGGGAGAAGGAGCTTGGAATGTGTAAGGAAAAGAAACAGTGAGTGTGCCTGAAACAGTGTGCAAAGGGGAGCAAGAGGAGGGGTCAGATGGCAGCAGCAGGCCAGGCCTTTAAATAATGACCTTGGCTTTAATTGCTTTTTAAGCATTTTTAATTGGAGGTATGGAGAGTCTGGAGAATGAAGTGGGACTGGCGACAAAATCAGGTAAGTTCGGAAATAGAGGTTGTGCATTTGCATTTCAAAATTCATCCACACATTCTTTAACATTCATGCATCATGGAAAAGAGACTAGACTACCAAGTGAATCTGGTAACATCTGAAACCCGTTTGGATGTCAATAACTATTGAATGGATGAAGGCATCCATAGTGACTTACAAGGTTAACACAACTGCAAAAAAAAAAAAAAAAAAATTCTGTTTAGCATTATTTGATTCTCCTGGCTCTGATATTAAGTTAGTTCTTTAAGTAGATTTCTATTCCAGGAATAGTAGCTAATATTTGTTGAGTGCTTATTGTGCATCAAATTCTATTCTAAGCCATATGAAACAGGTATATTCTCTCATTAGATCTCATCACAACAAACCAGGAAGATAGGGGTTTTTTAAAAAATTATTATTATCATCCAATATTACTGATGGGGAAATAGACACTGAGAAACACAGATCCATTGGCCTAAGATCACCCAGTTAGTAAGTAGAGTCAGGATTTGCACTCAGGCACTGATTCTAGCTCAAAAGCTGTCAAATGACTATTTATAGCTTCCCAAAAGAAGCCACAGACAAGCAATACAAACATCCAGTTAATTTGATTACTCCACTTTTAGATTAATAAATTGGCATCATGCCTAAACATTAATCTCTTATGAGTTGATTTTATGACTCCATTGGGTTCCATTTCCCTCTAGTAAACCAATACAGCTGAGTTTCCAAACCTACAAATCCAGATGTGGATGAAGACTTAGACCACAGAAGAGTGACAGGAGTAGAGATTAGGAGGGTAGCAGAGGCCAAATCTTGCTGGTCTTATGGACCAGGTGTGTATTTTTTTGTTTCTTAGCGCAGAGCGAAGGGATATGAATTCTTTCCAGACCTTCCTGGAGAGTGACGTTGAGGGTTTTTTAATGATTTTCAAGTAAAGATATGATTCTTATCCAGATGACTGTGAGTCATTTTTCTCAATAACAATATAAAAAGATAACATGGGCTTACACCATAGCAGGAAAAAAAATGTATTAGAAAAAAGCAATACCTGTTTGATGGTGAACTTGACCTTGGGTCTGAAAGCCCTTGTGGGCAATGCCCTGCAAACCAAAGGGTCCACAAGCAAGTTAGTTTGACCTTGACCAAATGCTTTATCTCTCTCTGAGATTCATGATATATATTAGTGTATTAAAGGTTGAAGAAAGGAAGCTCAGTAAATCTCTTTAATTTTGTTTAACCCCATATTTTCTGAATTCATTTGACCACAATTTGTTTTTCCTCTAAGACTTATCAATTTCTCATGAAAACAATGAAACAAACTGCATTAAAACTGTGTGATAATAACATGGTACTGTGTAAAAGTCGTTGTAATGGCATCATGTTTATTTAGTCCTGGAGTTTGTAGAACTCAATCTGTAAGCAAAAGAAAAGGGGACTAGAACATATTATTTGTTTATTTTTAGAGAACCATTCTCACATAATGGCAATTGGTTGCATATATGGTAACTTGGCTCTGAAGTGGATCACTGGCTTTGTGACCAACAATATTTTAGCTTTTTAAAATTGATTTTTTTAAAAAAATAAATGACAGCAGAATGCATTACAATTCTTATCACACATATACAGCACAATATTTTAGCTTTTGAAGACCAATTCTTTGTCTAAGCCTATGGTCTGAACTGGCTTGAACTCAGACTACCCAGTTGACACAGGGCACAGATGTGGGCCTGTCACAGAACACTAGGGTTTATTCATTTTAAAAGTTGTTGAGGACAGTTTTGGTAAAAGATACTTCACAAATATCTTTTGAGTAAGTTAATGAATATACAACTGAATGAGTAATTATGATAATTATTTGTCCTCATAAGGAAAGGTAATTAGGAGACCAGTAAGTATTGTGCAAAATCTAGGCTAGAATATAAATGGAACAATAAGTCTTAGAAAGAAACAAGATTTCTTTTTTTGTTCTGTGGGGATTTAGCAAATTAGCTCTATTTTTGTCTGAGTTTTACATACTGAAGAAAATATCATCTTTTGGCAAAAACTGGGCAATGTTGTTGAGTAATTTTGTCCCTTAAGATTTGGACAAGTTTGTGTGAATTAGGCAAATCACTTAATCTCTTTGTTTTCTTGTCTCCTGAACTAAGTAATCTCTAAGGTCGATTTTACTTTTAAAATGGGGTCCATTCAGTTACAAATATGATGCTTTGTGCTTTCTCTTTAATTTCTACATTGGAAAAGTGCATAATCTTCATTATAAAACCAGGTCTGAATCCAGATTGAAAGAGCCACAGGAAAGCACAGAATTCCAGAACATTTTGCAAGAATGTCCTCACTCATTAAAGGAATGCTCTTAAGAGGAAAACAAGATCTCTGTGTACAGATTTCCCTACAGAGCAGCTGTGAAAGGCCCCTTGATTGAGGATGTGAATCTCAGCAAGAGCAGCACTCTCCTCTGGGGTAGTTTTGATGACCGTGGGCCACCATGTGGACTGGTGACACATGCGGGTCCTTTAATTATCTCTTGGCATCATCATGAGCCAACACTTAGCGTATACTTACAAAGGAGCATTTAGAGAACTGTTGTAAACTCTCTTCTACTACTTCATTTAATCCCAACCATAGCCATATGAACTGTTTCTTCTTATCATCATCTTTCTAAAGATGGATGCATGGAAGCACAACATGTTCAATTTGCTCAGGGTCATGGACCCGTTAAATGCTGGATCCACATCTAAATCGAAGTGCTTGGGTCCAGAATCCTTCCTCTTAACCATTCTGCTATATTCTGCCACCTCAGAGTATCCATCTAGACAGTGACAAAAGCTGAGACAAGGTAAGGCACCCAGCATACTGTAAGACTGCTATGCCAAAGGTGATTATTGAGGGAGATAAAATTAAAAGGGGCTGATTGCTCTTCTTACCCAGCTATCAAAACTGCAACTCACTGTAAGCAAAGTGAAATGAGTACTAGAATAGAGTGGTTCTGGGGAAAGAGGAAGATAATATTTGGAGTAGCTTATAAGGCTAATATTTTAATAGATATAGTAGGAGGAAAGCATTTCCAGTTAAAGAAACAGTGTGAATTTTAAGGTATGCCAGATAAACTCATCTGCCCAGATTGTAAGACATGCTGTGGGTTGATGACATTTGGCTGTGAGAAAGTTCTGAAGGCCTTACTAAGGAGTCTAATGTTATTCTGCAAGCAATAAGGAGCTATGTGAATTTACTTTGGAGTATGACTTTGGAGATAGTATAGTGGACTGGAGTCTAAACAGGAAGAAGTAGAAATTCAGCCAGGGTAATTTCAATGACAAATGTGAAAAGGAGTGGAGTGGTAGATGTTGTGATATGGTGCCCAGACCTCTCCTTCAGAAATCAAGTTCTTATTATTCTTATTATTCATAGTCACTGAGAACACTGTTAACAGAGAGCCCTCAGCTGTCAATCCCTTCACCTACAGTCACGCCTTCTTTCTGGGAGGGTGGCATACAATGATTGATCATTGTTGGGGTTTTGAGGGGCTCTACTCCTCACTACAGTTCAGGACAGATCATTCCAGCCCCCACATTGTAGTTGGGCTCTTTTCTCTGCCCAATCCTGCTTCCTTCCTTTCCTCTTATGGGCTGCTTTTTCAAGAGCACTCTCTAAGCAATCTCTTCCATACTAACTGCTTACAATCTGCATCCTGGGAAATTCAACCTGCCTTTGATGGTTATAAGATGCTCAGTGGAAGAAAAACACACAGGTGGACTTCTGGACAGGAATGTAGCAAGTGAAGGAAAAGAACACATCAAAGATGATACTTAACCAGGGTATCTAGAAGGATGGTTGTCTAAGACAGCATCTCTTCCTTGGACAAGCTGTAGCAGATCCTTTAATGACTTACCTGCTTTTCTTCTTGATCCTTACAATCTATTCTACACATATAGGCCAGAAGGGTTCATGTTTCAACCCACCACCCCATCACGAACAGAAGGAAATCAAAAATTCTTATCATGCCTACAACATTCCACTTAATGCAGCCCCCTACCTCTTCCAATTCCCCTTACTTTCTATGCTCCAGTCATCCTGTCCTCATTGAAATTCTAGAACTTGCTGACCATGTGCCTGTCGATCCCCCAGATATTCCCTTGGCTCCTTCTCTCCTTTCATTTGAGCAGCTCTCTCTGATTAAAAACACCTCAGGGAGGCCTTAACCAACTCTCCCATCCAGAATGGCAGTCCCCATCATTCTCTATTCCTTGAACCACTTATTTTTTTCCCCAAAGCTCTTATTTTAGGTTGACATTGACCTATTATTTCTCTATGTGTTTATGTGTTGTCTGTTTCTCCTTCTAGAATGGAAACTTCATGAGGACAAGAGCTCTGTCTTCACCCTTCTATATCTCTGATCAAACACAAAACACACAAGTTAATAAAAATCAGGAACATCAGAGTATGTCTTCAGCAGAATATATGATTTCAATTTTGAGCCTGTTGAGCTTGAACAACCTTTATAGCAGTCACAGGGGATTTTAGACAGTTACCAATTCATATTTCTTGGTAAAGACAGAAAAGAGGGTGTTCTTTTGAGTGTCTACTACCCATAGACTATATGGGGAGAATGAGGTGAACAGCAGTTCCCAGGTTTGTTTAGGAAAGATTAGTCTCCTGGAAAAAAGAGTAGAATGATCATATTTTTACAATGAAACAAAAACCAATTCAAACAAGTTTAATAAAAGAAAACTTAATAAATAATCAAAGAAATAAAGGATAAAAAGGGGTGAAAAGGGCTTTAATTGGCCCATGTAACTGGAAAATCCAGAGGTTCAGCCTTGACCAGAACTAGGTATTCAAACTCTGATCCCAGAGTTTGTTCTTCATCTCTCAGCTCTGCTCTTCCTGTCTCTGAGGTGACTGCATTCTTAGCCAGGATCTTTCCAAAGGGACTACATAGCAAGTAGGTCACCAGAAACTGGTTACAATTCCTTTCACTTAACAAACTCAGTGAAAGATAGTGC